TGCAGCCTTTTTGATACAATAAAACCAAGTAACAAGGTCATCTAGTATAGTGATTAACTATTGCAAATATATATGGAATGAAGATGTAGTAGTTCATTTTACTATATAGCAGTAAGCAAATAGTTCAAAATAGTAATAGTATATAAATTTACTTTATTAAACAAATATATACAGTAACAACCTTGCCTATAAAAATTATCTTAGAGAGAGAATATCACTTTTACAGTTTAAGAATAAAGGTAAAAAGGTCTATATTAAAGTATAGAAACTTAGAATTATCAAAAAAAAAAGATATTCTTTATATATCTTTTTAGCTAGTGAAAATAGTAGAAATTTGAGCAATATTACTTGATACTATATTTAGAATGATAGAAGTTTGAACAACATCAGATATTATTGTACTTGAAGTAGTAGAATTTAAAAAACATTAAATAATACTATGCTTGAGATAGTAGGAATTATATAAAAGCAACTAATGATATTGTTTATATCATTTGTCATTTGTACTTAAAACATTTGAAGCTTGTGTTTAGATACTTGAATCTGTGCAAGATATTTGAAATTTGTGTAAGAATATTTGGGATTTATATGAAAACACTTGGAGTTTATATCAAAGGTACTTGAAATTCTTGTACTGCAATATTTGGCATAATAATTTGGTACTAGAATATATAAAACTTGTATAGAAGTACTTGGAGTTTGTAAAATGATAGTAATATTATAGATGTTACTCAGTATTATATGGCTGTGCCATATTTCTAATATCCAATTAAGATTCTTTTATTTATCTAACTATATAATATAACTATTGGCTAACTAATAACAAATAACTAATAATAAATATAATATATAAGATATAATAATAAATATATATAACTATTAATATTATTATATATTATACTATACTAAAAATCTACTTTGTAATAATATCTTATTTAAAACTTAATTAATTTTGATAATTTAGTATTTATTTTAGAATAAATATTCTCATAACAACCTGTTATATCTAACAATCTCTAATTAGCTAATAGTAGTTAGAGTTAAAGTTTTAGTTATATAAAATTTTGGTTATTTTTATTGTTTATACTAATTGAGTTGTTACAAATAAGAGTGTAACAGGTTGTTACAATTAGATTCATTTTTTATTTTAATTTTACAAAATTGCTGTATTAAAATAAATTATTAAAATTAATTAAGTTTTATATAAAATATTTAAGTTTAAATTTTAAAAAAAAATTTTAATAATAATAATTTTTTTTTTTTAGTGTTAAAGTGATCTCTTTGGTCTTTTAACTTTTATTAATAACTTATTAGTAATGTAATTCTATAAACCACTACAGAAAAGAGTACAATTAGCTATATGTATAACTTTTTTATATTACCTATTTAGAGAGTTTGTCTAAAGGTTTCCTACCAATTGCTTTACATAATACTCCTACTTGGGTGTTTTATTTTAAACTTTTTGAACTTGTAATTTGTATTAACTTACTGGATTATATCTAGATGCCCAGATTATTGTTTTAACTTTAGGACTAATTTATCTTTAAGGTAAATTCTTCAGAGCTTTTTGTACTTATTTTTATAGCTGATCTAAGTATCACTATAGTAGAACTAACACTTGCAATCAAAGTTATATCATTTAATTGCTATGTCTTTGTAGAGTTTACATAAACTCTAATATTTACTTCATAGATAATTCCAGTACTTTAGTATACTTATGCCTTTTTATCTATCTTTTTACCAAACTTCCAATCCAGATAGCTTATATAGAACTATGTTTAGTCTATTAATATATTAGATTAGCCTAATATTCTTTTTCTTTAGATTATTCTAATAACCTGGTTGGTAATATCTCTGAAACTTCCAACTTAAAAGTTCTTGCCTGTTTAGCTACTATGACTAAGTACTATGATTTTGATATTCATTTTTTTAAGCTAGCCTTTACAATAGAGCTGTTAAAAATCTGGCTATCTTTTTACTTGAATTTTTTCAAATAAACTTCTTGTTACTTAATTTTAATAGATTTATATAGCCACAAGAACTTATCTAGTATTTGCATTGCTTGATTTGTCAGTTTGCATTCCTTTGTATAACAGATTACACAGATGTTCTATGACCTGACAGTTATACTATTGTGACTGCTATTACAAGTATTCTAATCTAATTATTAGTAATAGTTGCTATAATATGAATATTATATAAGTAATTATTCAAATTTTCATTGTTGATAAGATTTAAATATCCAATCTACCACTTGAAAGGTTGATAATCTAACTACTTTACTAGGTTACTACACTTCTATAAAAATAATTTGTCTGAATTCTGTTGATTTACTTTTATATATTTTATTTTGAAATAATTTAGTTTAAAAGTAAAATACAATATTGATCATTTCTATATATAATTAGTTGCAAATTTTTATCAATTTTTTTTATATTTAATTTTTTGAAAAAATATATTAAGTAAATAAATTTTAATTCTTATATAAAAGTTGTACAGTAAGTCTTTCTAATTCTAATAATAGTAAATTTATTAAATTAAATAAAAACTTATCAAAAAATGAGTTTTTAAACATTAGTTTATAAAATTATATAATAAAATTAATTTATAAATTTACATAAATTAACCAATTAAATTAATTAATTTTGTACTACCTAGGCAAATTTTAATTAACCTAGGCAAATTTTAATTGACTTAGGCAAACTTTATCATATATATAAGTATATTTTTTTAAAATAATATAATAGTTCAAAATTTTACTATAATAGATAAATATTTTTATTTGTAATTGTTTCTTTGGTTGACCATGATATGAAATAATATAAGGATTTGTTACTATTCTAAAATCATCCAAAGAATTATTAAATTCAATAGATTTTGACTCAATAAAACTATATATTAATCTAGTAAATTCATTTATTATATCAGTGTCAAGAGCAAGCTGAACTCTTTTTTTAGCAATCCCAATACTTTGACAATATTTAGCTTTTTTGAAAGAGTATTGTTGAATTTTATAATTAAAACAATTTGGCTCTCAGAGTTGTTTAATAAGTGCAAAGTTATTACCTAATTTATTATTTTGTATTTCTTGCATGTCTGTTATATTATTTGTAATTTAAACAGTAATTGGTTGCTCAATTGTACTTATAGAATTTGTAAGTCACTGTTGAGATATCATTTGTATTTAAAATTTAATAAGTGAAGAGACAGATAAAACTGAAAAAAAGTACTAACAGAAAAAGCCTTTAGCGATAAGTGACATACAAAAGCATAAATAAATACCATTATCTAAAACTACAATATATTGTCTACTACAAGAGACTGAATTGTTAAATAATCTAATATGTCAAATTTTATGAATATTTTGACTTTTAACTAATTTAAGCATTGACAAAAGTAGTATATAGTTTTCTGGTAATCATCTTCAAAAAATTTATTGATATAATCAGAATGATCATTCTAATTAAAGAATTATTAATATGTAATAGTTTGTAAATTTTAACCTTAACACTAAAAAATAAACAGTTCTAAACTTTAATACTTACTTGATTAAAAGTTGACAATCAATTCAGTAGAGGCAGTAAAGACATGATTGATTAATTTGAAGTTTTTGAAGCTCAAGTGCTTTAAAGATCAAATATTTTTTTAAAATTTCATCAATCTTAAAAAAAAAAGTACTATAGATTGTAGGCAAACTAATGGATAAAAGCTGATTTCAGTATTCTAATTCATATTGGTGTTTGGTTTTATTATTGATTCAGTTTTCAATACTTTCTACTAATTTTGTGAGTAAAGTTCATGCACCAACTTCAGTTTTTAAAATAGCATTAAAACTTTCAACATGTTAGGTATTGTTCATATCAGCACAAAATGTTAAGTATGTGTAAGCCAAAACCCATGCATGTCTGGATTTATATAATTAATTCAAGTACTGCTCATGTTCAGGAAAATTATTTAATAATTGTTGCCATCAATTTTTAAAAAGTTCTACACATTTACTATTACATGCATAATAAAATTGTTCTAAAAATTTTTTGTATTGATCACGTGCAAGTTTTTTTTACAAAATGTTTATAAATGTTTTGTTTAATATGAAATAAATAATGTCTATGTTTGATATTAGAAAACATACTATAAATTGCAACTGCCATCTTGGAATTACCATCTGTAAAGATTATTTGTGATGTAATATTATTGCTCAAAGTTTTTAAAGACTGTAAGATTCACTTAAAAGTAGCTTGTGTTTCATCCTGAACTAGTGCTTATGCAAGCAATCTTGTTCTATTGTATGAATCAATACCCATAAAAATATTTAGTAATATACAATAAATATTGGTTTTACAAGTATTATCATTCATAATTATATCATGATACTGTTTATAAAGCCAAGATTGATCAGAACTCTGCCAAAACAGATGAGCCAAGAAAGTGTTAGCACCTTCAAAATATATATTAACCTTTCAATTCAGGTCCTCACACTGTTTTAAAATTAAATATTTAAGCATTATAGCAGCATATTAATTTATATTAGAGGTAGTAGAGGTTTTATACTGTCATATTACATTATAAAGATCTTTGAAATAGATGTTAATTCTGAGAAACTTATTAACAAAATAACATCTTTGCTGGCAAATATTATATTTACATTTTTGTATTATAAATTTTATTTCATCTAGAACTTCTTGTGATAATTGCTGCAAAGATGAAGCAAACTTCTCACAATATAGTATAAGGTTATGATTATGCATTTCAACAAGTTTATTAATATAAATTTTTTCTTCAGTCTTTCTATAGCTAGCATTATATCAACATTTACATTGAATTTTCTTTGGATTAGTTTTTTAAATAACATTAAACTTTAATTTTGGATTTTCAGAATATTTATATTCAAAACATCAGTGAATAACATTTTTAGTTTTATTGTCTATATCCTACTAACTCTTTATTGGTTTGAATTCATCTTTTTTACTACAATGTTCAAGGCTTTTCTCAAAAGATATTCATGAAGGAAAACTAGTGCCAGAAGTAATTGGCCTAATAACAATACCAGAATCTTTAGAATCAGTAGTGTTTTTAAAATCATTAGTGTCTTCAGAATCATTAATATTTTCAGGATCATCAGTATCTCTAGGATTATTGGTATCTTCAGAACCAGTAGTACTTTCAATTTGTTTATCCAAATTAAATAATAAATAGTTATAAATTAATGATCCAATTGCATCCTTAGCAGTAATTTGATCTTTTTAAATATTATAAGTATATGTTTGCTTTTTTAATAATAATTTATTATACAGAACAGAACAAAAAAAGTTATTATTACTAAATATGTTTTTAGTTTGAGAATTTAGCTTAGACATTGTTAAAAGAAAAAAAAAAGCTGAAAGACATTTCTAAGGTAGTTTACTTTTAAGTCTTGTTACAATTTGTATTCTCTAATTTTAAGTCTAAAATACTTATTTATGTATTTATTAAATTTAAATGGCTGGTTGGCTGAAGTAGGTGTAAGTAATGAATTAAAGAAGTGAATATGAGCTGTAGATGAGGTGTTTGAAGTAAGGATTGATTTAGTTAGATTAATTTGTATGTCAGCCATATGGTAAAAAAAAGTGGCAGTAGCAATAATTGTACAAAAAAAAAAAAAAAAAAAACTTATATGATTGTTTGAATTCTACAGGTGTGTAAACTATTTCATTCAAATTCCAACAAATGCTATAAGTTATGATCATTCAAACTCTAACAAGTGCTGTAAGTATATAAAAGAGAGGTTTTTATTTTTTTTTCTGTTTTTTTTTTTTGTCAATAATGCTTCAGATTGTGATGCTTTTGCAAAAGACATTCACTAGTACAATTTTTCTTTACTTTTAAGATAAAAATCACTAATGTTTAAGTTGTGCGATGCAGTGTTTAAATTGGGTTTAGGTTGAGTGATATATAATGTTTTAAAATAATATAGTTGCTTATTTTAAAGAAATCAAGATAGTATTCTCATTTACTATAGTCAAGAAAAATAGAAAACTATAATATGTATTGATTTTTAATTATATGTCATTATATACATTATCTTAGTAGAAGGTTAATCATGTGATCAGTAATATCACTACTAGTGAAAATAAAAAATATTCTATAAAATATAATAAAAATATTTTTTGAAACTATTAAGTTATTAGTAACTATATAATTAATATATATTTTAAATATATTTTATATATAATTAAAATATAGTATTTTAGCTATATAATAAATATATTTATAATATAAAAAAAATAAATATATATATTTAATTAGTAAATTGTTTTTAAAAAAAACAAAAAATAATAATCCTTATAATAAACAAAATCAGAAATTTATATATTTTTTTTATAATGCAAAAATGGAGCTTGCTTATATATAAAACCTTTTTTTATTAACTAATTCTTTCTTGTTACTTAATTGAAAGTTGTAGAACTAAATTTTGTAATTCTAATAGTAGTAAAATCATTAAAATCAGTTGAATAGATCATAAGATATGAGTATTTTTCAATTATTTACTATAGAGTTTTTTTTTTAAGAATTAAAGCACATGATATTCTACTTAAAATATAAGGTAACTAGTCATATGCCCATCAATTTTTATTATAAAATTTGTACTCTTTAACTACAGACTACTAATAAATTAAATAATTACTATGATAACTTTGTTTATTTTATTTTTTTTTTAGTGTTAAGATAACCTTTTTGGTTTTTTGACTTTTATTAATCACTTATTAATATTGTAGTTCAATGAACCACTACAGGAGAGCATACAATTGGCTACATATATAACTTTTCTATATTACCTATTTAAAGAGTTCACCTGAAGGTTTCTTATCAATTGCTGTAGCTAACACCTCTGCTTAGATGTTTTATTTTAAAACCCTCTGAACCTGTAATCTGTATTAACTTACTAGGTTATACTCAGATGCCCAGATCATTATTTCAATCTTAGGACTAATTTATCATTAAGATAAACCCTCCAGAGCCTTCTGTACTTATTTTTACAGCTAATCTAGATATTGCTATAGCAGAACCAATACTTGTAATTAGAGCTTAATCATTAAACCATTATGCTCTTATAGAGTTCACTTAAACTCCTGTATCTATTTCATAGCATAACTTTAGTACTTTAGTATACCTTTGCCTTTTTACTTGTCTTTTTACCAAACTTCCAATCCAGATAGTCTGTATTGAACTATGACCAGTCCATCAATATATTGAGTTGGCCTAATATCTTTTTTCTCTAGTTTATTCTGGCAGCCTATTTAGTAGTATCTTCAAGACTTTCAATTTAGAGGTTTTTGCCTATTTGGCTATTATAACTGGATACTAGACCTTGGTATTTATTTTATCAGGCTAGCCTTTACAGTAGGACTGTTAAAGATCCAGCTACCTCTTTACTTAGATCTTTTCAAATGAACTTCTTGTTATTCAATTTTAATAGATTTATATAACTACAATGACTTATCTAGTGTTTGCATTGTCTGATTTGTTAGTTTGCATTTCTCTATATAACTCCAACATTGCACAGATGCTTTATAATTTGCCAGTTATGCTAGTGCAATTGCTATTACAGATATTCTAATTCAATCATTATTAATAGTTATTATAATATGAATATTATATAAATGATTATTCAAATTTTCACTATTAATAGGATTTGAACACCCAATCTATCACTTGAAGGTTGACAACCTAATCACTTTTTATTTTATTTTATTTTTTAACCTTTGGCAGCCATGATGGTCAACTAGTTAGAAGTTTATTTATAAATGTTTAGTACAGACAATATACAAATATAACTATATTTAACTTTATGTGCCATTATCACATAGTTACCCCAATTGGCACCTATGAACAACTTGCCATACCAAACTTGCTAAAGTCTGGATTGAGCTCATCTGTTTGCCACCTTACAATTGAATAACACCAAATTAATACTATTTATTTGTAGAAAGATAAAAAACCAAAAAAAAATTTTCTTGTTAAGAGAAAATATACTAAAAAAAAAATATGTGTAGAGAAAAAATATAAAAAAAAACAAATATCAAGAAATGAAAAGAAAGGAAATTGCTGATGAAGGCCAAACAAATGATTACTAATTATAAAGGCTATGTCAGTCTACTAAAAATTATATATTACTAAATACAGTAATCTCTACTTTAACTCTATCTAATTAATATATTTAATACTAAAGCTTATATTCTAAGAGAAACAATTCAACCAAAACTGAACTAGCAGAGAATTTTCCATGTTTGAATATTCTAACTCCTTGTTACTGAATTCATCTTCATGTATGACTTATTATACTTTTTATCAAATTCTTACATTTTGATACTTGTTACATTTTTGATCAATCATTTTATCTTTTACTAAAAATCTCTAATTTCATCTTATTATTGTGTTTTTCTAAGACATGTATATTTGTACTTTATTTGCAACACAGGCCCTTTCTGAATAGAACTGATAAACAATTCCAATTTGAAAGAATTAATAATGCTGATTTCGATAAAGGTAAGCTAGATTGTCCACTTTTTAATAAAATTTTTTTGGAAAAAAGTAAAAAAGTAATTTTTTAAAGTATTAACTATAATGAGTATAGAAGTTTATATTATACAGAATAGTATATTCAACTAGGCTTCTATCTTTGCTGCTGCTTAGATATAGTCTAACAAAAACTTTCTTAATTGTATCCAAAATTACTTTTTTAATAACTTCATAAACTTCTATTAGAGAGCCAAACCTACAAGAAACTGTTTTTTTTAACCCTTTTTTATATGGCCCACATGCAATCTGAAACTCTTGAATTCAGATGCTATATGGTAAATTTTCTTATATATAAACATACTAACTATATAATTTTTGTAGATTAGTATATATAGAAAAATTGATGCAGAGGATTATTGAAAAGAGTTCTTTGATGATTAAATCTAAATACTTTACTAGATGATCACATTTTTAATAACTTTGTTTATTATATAATAATATTAATAATACTATTTATTTATTATTTTTTTTTTAATATTAAAGTTCTTATCTTTAAGATGCAACATTTTTATTCAAGTATATAGAACATGGCATGCCACTAGAGGCTAACTTATATTGAAGTTACAACTAATTATATATGCACTTTTGGTGTCTAATTTAAGTAGTCCACTTATATATTACTATATAAGTTCTATACTAGATGCTATATCTGCAAGCCAACTAAGAATCTTGCCTATTTAAACATTCTGCATATGCAATCCTTCTTGTATTACAAGAACATCTTTAAGGCTACATTTATCCAAGTTCCTAATACTGATTAGTATTTTTAGAACTACTTTATCCTTGATAGAAAACTTATTAGAGCCTTTATGTTTTATACATACTAATCTAGTTTTATGCAATATGCTATAATTATCTAACACTTGTAATTATAGAGATTATCTGTCATACTAGAATGAGTTTATACTTACTACTAGAAGGCTATTTAGACTAGCCTTTAAAACCATTTTAGTAAGGCCTCTTGTTATTACTAATTAATTTTTTTTTTTTTTTTTTTTTAAATTAAAGTCCCTATTTTGGGAGTTGCGATGTTTTTATTCAAGTATATTAGGACATGGCATGCCACCAGGGGCTCACCTTACATTGGAGATTACAACTAGCCATATGTGCACTTTTGGTGCCTAATTTAAGTAGTCTGCTTACACATTACTATATAAGTTCTACACTAGTTGCCATATCTG